TTTTTTTTTTTTTTTKTWATCTAAATTTGGAACGTCATAAATATTTTAAATAAAAAAGCAATAGGACAACGGCTTCTATGAGTTACGCGTAGACATTAAACCAGTTCAAGAAACGAGGGATGAAGACTACGTACACTATAAAGTATGAATTATTTGTGAGACAACATTATTTCGAATAAAATTTTATGATGCTAGACCATAAAACAAAGACTCCATATTACTAGAAGTCAACTATTTTATCCCAAGTAGCTAAGCTCAAGAAAMACTGAGTCGGTAATAAGTCTAGCCGGTTTAGCAACCATGACTACGTTTCGCACCACCTTCACTCTAGAAGATAGTGCACACTCTCAGAGATGACGTGCAGTGTATCGACCAGGAACCATCCACAATTGCGCGCAACAATTGGAGCCCATCAACTTTATGGAAAATTTTGCGGATGGATCCCAGTTTTAGGGCTTACAAACTACAACTCGTGCAAGAAGAAGCCGGATCACCATCAAGCGCGTTGCTCGGCGTGTAAATGGGTCCAAAGCGAGAAGGCTACTGATCCCGTTTTTATTAAAATTTTATTCAGCGATGAAGCTCAATTTTGGTTGAATTTGAACGTCATTAAACAAAATTGTTGCATTTCGAGTGAAAATAATACAAATCCCATCCTTACGAAGCGTTGCATTCTCAATAAGTCCCTGTTTGGTGTGCTCTATGGGCAGAGGAAATCATTGGTCCATATTTCTTCAAAAGTGAAGCCGATCATAATGCTAAATCAGTGAGAAACGCTATAGAGGCATGATTAATGACATTTTTGTACCTGAATAGGAGGAAGGAGATGACCTTTGGTTAGGTTTGTGACGTGGTCCCTCAGATAAGCCCGAGACAACTGACATYTTGGAAGATAATATTCGACGCGTTATTGCTGACATTGTGCCCCAATCACTGCAAAAAGTGATAGAGAATTGGGTTTCTCAGCCAGAATTTACTCAAACCAMCACCGGCGATTGCTTGCCCGAAATTAGTTTTAGAACACAAARGCAATATTTATATATATTTAAAATAAAGCTAAGTTTTTGGCCACAACATTAAAAAAAAAAGCGTTTTATTACTTGTTGTAATCCACATGTTTAAAAAACCACACTTTTTGAAGTCTACTGCTCTTGGCTTCAATTAACCGAAATCTAAATTTCAATTGGTATTAAATAGTTGGTTTGACCAATATTAAATTTTGTCTTATTAGCAGTTCAATATACTGGAATATTTGCAATTCTCTAGTTTATTACTCATTAAAGAAAAATTAGCTAAAGCATATTCTCTCCACTTCTTTCAGATATTCACATGAATCAAGCACTTAACCTGTCAAATCTCTCCGTCCCGCGCATAATCGATGCCGCGCAAAAAGCCAAACTATTCTGCAGCTATGAAATGGGTAACCGMACATTAAACTCGGTTAAATGGTACAAGGATGGGATGGAGTTTTTCAGGTAAGTGGAGGGAACCAATGAATGAAGAAATGTGTTCAAAAAAGGCTACACCCCCATTGCGTCCAAGCATTTTCATTTTTTAAAAATACATTAATGTTAAYGCCACCTGCAACGTCCCCGGGCAGAGTGCATAGAAAGCGATTTAATGAAATGACACAATACTTAGATAGCATACTAGTTATGGTTAGTCTTCTAAGATAGTACGAAATCTCTTGGTCAATAAAAATTCTTTTCAGCGTGTTTACTAAAGTATAGTTAACAGCGGTATTAAATATAACATTATTAATGAAGTGTTTTATTCTATTCCATAAGTCAAAATAAAGTCAGCCATTACGACGAATGTCAAAACCCGTCGATGAATGATAGATCAAGCATTGAATACTTGGCAACACAAAAACACATTTGAGTTTTTTATTTATGCTGTGGGCGCTTGCAACTGCACTCACTACCATTATCTCCGCTTTTCGGTCCATCTCTATTACTCACAATTGGTTAAAAGCGTGGAAAAGTACTCGCACACTGTATTACTAATTTGGCTGCGTAATTGAAAATGGTGCAGATTGGCTGTGAACCGCGAGCGGCGAGTGGAAAATCGCGAACCACATGCAACACACTGTAATTTTACGTGCCACTGCATATGCAAGCGGCGAATTTTTATCGACAAATCGGAGTGGAAGAGCGCACACCAACARCTCGGGGCACAACACACTTTGCCACCGTGCCACCTCTTGCCCAACACTGATGTAGAGTTAATAGCTTGTCTCCAGCTATTTGCCAGTAGGCGACTTTTATTGGCCTTGGCAGCTGCAGTATTTAATTGACGGAAATTCGCAGCCGCTTTTAATTGCCCGAAAACATACACAATTTTTTTCGATGCACTTTTTCAATTACCAACTTGTAGTCCACATAATTCCCAGCATTTGAGAGTGCGACTTTTACACACTTTTAGGTAATACTTGCACATACAAGCTATATAATCGATACACACTCGTATATAC